TTTTTTTTTTGAATTTTTCGAAGCATCGGAATTTCGTGCTTTTTTCGGAATCACCTTACTTGTCGCGATTAGATAGTTTCCTCCAAAGGGTTTGCTATGTAGAAAATTTTGTGGCATTCAGATACGATACGAATGTTAAACAAATGCTTATTAGGGTGCATTACTCTCGATGCGAAAAGAAATATATTAATCGATACTATTTTTCCATTGGAATTAAAAAAAGTATTATGTTTCAGAAAATTATTAAGATTTACGTGAGCTGGAAGGATTTGAAAATATTTACTACCTCCAAAAATTAGTTTAAAAAAATATTTTTTTCCAAAAAGGTGGAACAACTTAAGCTTAGAAGGTCTGCATAAAAAAATTTAAAAATTTTATCAACGAAACAAAATTAATGATGTTTTTGGAGGTAATATGTAATCCGTACAGCTTACGCGAATCTCTATAATTTTCCAAAATATTTTGTGCGAGTCTCAAAATATGATAATTTTTATAATTCCAGTGGCAAAACCGATACTTTTTTCGGTGAGGCACCCTAATGTATGAATGTACATATGTATATATAACTATCTAAAATTTCCCAGCCAGCAAAAAATCCGAAAACCGATCCGAAAACGGGGAAAAAAGTCGATGCAAGCCGGGTTTTTGTCCGTTTACCGATTCCATTTCCGGATACTTTAATGATCCGTTTTCACATTAAAGTGGTGAAAAAATGGAAAATGATGGTGAAAAGGACACGTTTTCGGCTGTTTTTTCTGAAATTTGTCTGATTGAATTTTTCGTTCATTACGCTTTCCTTCTGTACTTCACATACACTTTTTCATGGTTCAAAAGAAATAAAATAAAATTAGGAAGCACCTGACGGAATTCGAACCCTTTCTGGAAGCTAACAAATAGCGGCACGCTCCTCTGCACGCTCAGCCACTGCCGACTACGCATGCATGCTTTCAAATGTTTAGCTTGAGCGAATAAAATATAATTATTACTTTCAAATAACATCATATTTTTCGAACATTTTCCGGATACGAAAATTGACGATAACTGTAGGAATTTGTTGTATGCGTTTTCGGATACGGAAAATTGAACTAAACTGCACTGTCGGCAAAATTTACGTTTCTTTGCTGGCTGCGTAGGCGAACAACTGACAACTCTCGTAGCCAAGGGAGGACGTGCCGCCCTCCGGCTTAGATATTGATCTTCCTGAAAGATGCTTTCGACCTACAGCCTAGCCACAAGTTGATTGCATGCTGGTTGCAAAGTTTCTGCTGCGGGGTGTGGTGCTCAGCGTAGTTTCTGGATGAGGTATTCGCCTGCAAATCGAAAATTTGTGCTAACAGCGAACATATTCCCCAAAAAGTTTTTGAGAATGATGCTGTGGTGACAGTCCTTGCCCAGACATGAACCTGAGTCGTTCCAGTCACGTAGATCTGAATGTCGTGTGAACGTGATGGGGTCCATTGTGCCGCGATATGAAATTTGAGCTTTGTTAATACATTTTCAAAAACTTTACATTACAAAAACAAAAAAAAAATCGATTTAATGGTTTTCCAAATACACACATCAAAATTATCTACGAAATAAAATATCTAAAAAAAATTTCTTGAAAATGTTTTCACATATACATATACTCTTTGATAAAAAAACTAGTTATTGAAAATATGGCATCTCAAAAAAATTTAAAAAAAGCGCAATAGTAGCTCTGAGTATTGCGCAATATTTAAGTATAGTATTATTACAATAATTTGAGTTATGCATTTTTTACACCGAAGTTGAGTAAAATGAGTACATTACAAATTTACAAATTATTTTAAATTTTTTTAAGACATTTTTTTAATTATGCAGTTTTTTTAAGTATGCAGTTTTATAGGCCATCAAATTTTAGTTTAATAAAGAGCAAGTTTGAAGCTACTGAAAATTGCGTTGATTTTTATTATTTTTTATGCTGATTGATTTTTAATATTTTATATGCAATTTTTCCTTACGGAAGAAAATGCGCAAAACAGTTTAATCGCTTAAAACTTGCACTTGTTATACTAAAATTTAATGGGCTACATAACTGCATACTGAAAGAATTGTTACAAAAAAAATAAAAAATAAATATAAATTTGAAATGTTGAATGCACACCATAATACTATACTTAAATATTGCCCAATACTCAGAGCTACCATTGTGAATTTTTTTAAATTGCTTTTGAAAACAATTTTTTTATCAAAAAATATGTTTGTGTAAATTGTTGCTGAAAAAAATTTTTTAATATTTTTTTTCATAGAGAATTTGGATGCGTGATTTTTTTTTTAATTTTTTTCTCGCCCCGTTCTCGAGATATTCGGAAAACTATTAAATCGATTTGTTTTTGGTTTTGTGCTCTAAAGTTTTTAAAAATTTATTAATCAAGCTCAAATTTCATATTTAGTTATTATTTATGTTTATGCATTAACCCTAAAAATTGTAAACAAATCAAAGAAATGAAGTGTGAACCCCGTCTATTTTGGTATGGAACACCCCATATACAAATATTTTACACATACCACATGGTGCCCCATCGTTTCATATTCAACTTTCTTTTGCGCTTAATTTCTAGTGTTGCAAACAAAAAACCCATTAACATAATCTAGTTTAAATATGTACTCGTAATCGAAAGCCCACAAAAAATTATTTTACGTCCACATTTGTTACAGTGATGATGGATGAGCCACGCTTCGCACAGCCGATACCAAATGTAACCGTTGCTGTCGGTCGAGATGCCAATTTGCCATGCGTAGTCGAGCACTTAGGGGGATACAAGGTAAATAAAGAACTACTTTAATTAAATTGAAATCATCTATCATTTCGGCATGTCGCCTAACTAGGTCGCCTGGATCCACATCGATCGCCAAATGATACTGACAATTCACAGACATGTCATATCTCGCATACCACGCTACAGCATCACCTATGATAATGCCAATACATGGCTGCTGCATGTAAATCAGGCGCATCAAGATGATCGTGGCTATTATATGTGCCAAGTAAATACGAATCCAATGATTAGCCAAGTAGGCTATTTGCAGGTTGTGGGTAAGTTGAATGCTAAAGAAAAGGCTTACTTAGCAATTTAACTAACTAATCATTCAACTTTCCATTTCTAGTACCACCGAACATACTCGACATCGAGAGCACTCCTTCCTCAGTGGCGGTGCGTGAAAATCAAAATATCAATATGACTTGCCGCGCTGATGGCTTTCCAACGCCGAAAATAATTTGGCGGCGCGAAGATGGTGAAGAAATTGCCGTCGAAAAGAAGAAGAAAGGTAAGCATGTGCCCAATTGAGTTGAATAGGAGTAATTTAAACCTACATAAAAATGTACTGACTGAATTTAACTTTTCCTTTTTTATTTGTATCTTCTCCTTTACAGTTTTAGTTTACGATGGCGAAGTGTTGCCATTGACGAAAGTAAGCCGCAATGAAATGGGTGCTTACCTCTGTATAGCCACCAACGGTGTACCGCCATCAGTGTCAAAGCGAATTATTTTGGATGTTGAATGTGAGTACATTCTGAAGTGTCAGGAATTTTTTTTTTACATACAATAGGCGACAAATGAAATTGTGCACCCTGTTCTTATATAATATACACAATAATTTTCATGAAGAAATTGTCGCATTAATTATTTTTTGTGAAAATATAATTCATTCTATACAAAATTAACAAAAATTCAAAAATTTTTTATCAAAATTTTCATCTTTTTATTCAGAATTTCTTGAAAATTTTAGAGTATGCAGTTTTGTAGTCCATTCAATTTTAGTCAATCTCCAAAAAAAAAAAAATCTCAAAAATTAACGCGATTTTTTAGTCGGTTGAAACTTGGACTAAAATTGAATGTGCTACAAAACTGCACACTCGAAAATTTTCTAGATATTCTGAATAAAAAGTGGAAAGTTTAGATGAAAATTTTTAGAACTTTTGTGAATTTTGTATAAAATGTGAACTAACATTTTTATGGTTTATATTACAGAATGAACTATATTTTCATAAATAACGCGGTTCAACAAAATTTGGTCTTATTTTATCTCAAAAATGGGGTCGTACTCATCTTATAGCTTTTTTGTTGCCGATTTGAAGTGCATTTGTAAAATTTTTCTAGCACGTCCAGTTTTTAGAAAAAAATTTTTAAGTGTCGAAAAATGACAAATTTCAAAAAATATTTAAAAATATAGCTTGGACGTAGTTTTTCCGAAGAAAAGGACCCGTTTTTGAGATAAAATACAAATTTTGTTGAACCGTGTTATTAATGCAAAAAAATTTCATGAAAATAAATTTAAATTATATTATAACAAGGTGTAAACTTTCATTTGTCGCCTAGTGTACATACATACATAAGTACATAAGTGAAATACAACATTATGGATGAGGTTATCTGCAAATGGATATTTGTATGTACATTAGTGTGCATCATCTCCTATAATATAAGTCGCTACTGTTTTACAGACCGTATTATAAAATTTATTACAATTTAAGACTTCCAGCAAAATATTTCGGAAAAATATTGAGTTTTATGTGAGCTGAACCTATTTCAAAATATCACCAAAAATCTCATTATTTTGATTCTGTTAATAGAACTTCGGCTTAAACTATTTTATCATCTGGGGTGATGTTTTAGAAAAAATATTTATATAATTTTTTTTTATTCATAAAAAGTTCGGTTTTTGGAGCTATTTCAAACTAGGTACAGCTCACGAGAATTTTAATATTTTTAAGAAATATTTTGGCGAGTCTTTAATTATATATTTATACGTTCACAATTCCGGTGGAAAACATGCTACTTTTTTGCTGAGGCACCCTAATGAGAGTAACTAAAATATACATTTATATTATTTCATTCGTTTTACTCTCAAAGTTTCGCCTATGATTTGGGTACCCAATCAACTCGTCGGCGCGCCAGCAGGTACAGATGTCACAATTGACTGTCACACCGAGGCACATCCTAAGTAAGTTTTCAGCCTTTTCAAATGGCTTATAAGTGGCACACATATACTTGACTATTCTGGGACAAATTTAGTTTCAATTTACTATTTTAGCTATGTATGTATGTATGTAGATGTGTTTGACCTTTATCTAAAACAAATTCTAACTGAAAATGTGTATTTATTTTTAAGGAAATATATATTTATTTTCTGATCTCTACTTTTATACAGTTTTTATTTATATTTGCTCGAATAATTTCCGTAAGTTAGCTAAGTTATTCACCTACATAAATATGTATGCACATATTTATTTATTTCAAATTTTCAGTGCTAACTTAATTTTATGCGAATAGTTTTCCATGATACTCTTATTTTATTTTCTTACATATTTGCATATATAAAGCATTTGTATGTCTTTTGTGTAAGTTAGCCCAGAATTAAGCTATTTTGAATTTCAGAAAATTTCAATTCTTCAGCCTGACCGTCAAAAAAAGCTGCTACTGACAGCTTTGCCAAAACTAACGCACATAAGTATGTAGTATGTACTATAGTTATATGCGCAAGCGTGTGTAAAGATTGTATGGAAGTTGTAAAAAAGATTAATTCATACAATTTCATTAGCTAAGACATACTTAGGCTTTTGTTTATTTATTTCAAAGTCAAATATTGGTTTCACACGTATAACTATATACATCTGTGCATGTAAACTTTTATTGTATAGTCTAAAATAAGCAAATATTGTTTTTATGTCTGTCATTCACAGAGCCATCATTTATTGGGTATATAATTCGGTGATGGTCCTGCCGAGCAAAAAATATAAAACTGATTACACAGAAAATTCCTATCGGTAAGTTCATATTTACCTATAACAGAATTGTGCAAAGTTTTATGCATGTGTGCCTAGTATACGTATATACATATGTACGAATAAGCAAATCAGAATAAAAATTATTAAAGAAAATTTATTTTTGGTTAGATTACATGTTGTTACAAAAAACGAAAATTGCTCGCACTTTTTAAGTGGCAGGTCGTATAGCTGGATGAGTAATTTACGAAATTGTTTTCAAAACTGGTCTAACACCCTGAAATTCTCGACTTATTCCTAAAAAAACCATTTTTACTTGACTTCCCGCACTAAATAATTTTTAGCACGGCTATTTTTCAACCAATTTTAAGTTCTTATATGGCTTTGGATAGAAGAATATTTATACTACTTAAAGAAATAATAACTTATATGCCTAACATTGCAAATATGTGGACAATTATTGGAATAAATTTTGAAATTTAAAACAACTTTTATTATTTTTTCTATTCCTACAACACTTTTTGCCAAAATTTCAAAAATAGATAGTCTCTGTTAATCATTACTTCGAAAAGAATATTTAATTGTTAGTATAATTGCTAGTAAATCTAGGTACCACTCATTAATATAAAAAAAAAAGTTATGAAGTTATGCTATTTTATTTTAAAGAGACAATTTCAAGTTATTCTGGGTGAAGTATACAGCCCTCCAAAAAAATTGTCAATTACTTTTGACAGGAATACCCTACCCCCATTTATTTTTAACACGAATCTGAAGTCGTTTTGTTCTATGACGGCAGGATTTTTTCCCAACCCCAAAAAACGAGACGGATGTTATGTGACAGGCGCGTCTTTTGAGGTTAGCAAAAAATCCTGACGAGGTGAAGCAGAACGGTCTTCAGATTCGTGTCCCGCGAATCACAATAAATAAGTGATTTTCGAACTCCGACACTTTTTTTGCGAGTGTGCGGCTATTTACAGCTGTCTTAGCCCCCAAAACACCTGTGTATCCGCGCCTGGTCCTCTTGGAAAATCAATAAATTTGGACATGAAAATATATGTATCTTGACCTTCAGCGGTGATAATAATAATGCATTTTACTTGTAGCCTTATGGCCTATAAGCAGTAATTATGGTTTCATGTTGGTTAGTACCCCAGTTAATGGTTTGAAAGTTTAAGGGCCCGTTGTTCAATTTCTGATTAGCACAAATCGGAGGTAGAAGCTCCGGTTCAATTCAACGACTGCTTCATCGAACACATGTTATATGCATGATGTCGAGATCGTCGATAATGATATTTAACTGGCAGGTAGTAATAACCAGACTTTGAACAACCGGCCCTAATAGCGTTTGCTTTTCTCGAAATAATGCTGCATTTATTCGGCCCTGCACCAGGGCGGTCAAGTTTCCGTATTGTTTTTTCTTAGCATCTTCACATGCATATTGCGTGCTCGCTCTTTAAAAAAAGGTGAAATTTTTTGCGAGCAAAGATAGCGCCTAAGTTTCGTTCCACTTGCACTTCTTACGTTATATGTAATAAAAAATACAATGTACAATCCACCCAATCTGCTTAGTTTTATTTAGAAAATATTTAATGCCAATTTATACAATATGTGCAACCAAACAACTGAAAATAACAATAACCTATGACTTCTTCAGTGCTCATATGAAATTGACTATAAGAAATTTACAATATGGCGACTTTGGCAACTACCGATGCATATCCAAGAATTCACTTGGCGAAACGGAAGGTTCCATACGCGTCTACGGTAAGTGAAATAAAAATACTCGTAAACAGTATTGTATATATGTACAGGCCGCACACGACCTTCAAAATGACACAACTCAAAATTTGGCATTTTTGAAATTATTTATGCACTATGCGTGTACATCCACAGAGAGCTTTTATTTACCTTGCAGCAAAAGCTGGAGCAAATTTTTGTTATAATTCTTTCAAAAAACTTTAGGTAAAGGGTACTTGCCCATATAATTAGCAATTAGCATGTGATATGAAATAGTTTTTCGTATTTTCTGACGAACGTGTAATTTTGAGTTGTGTCACCTTTGAAGATCGTGTGCGATATGTAAATATGTATGAATGATAAAGTACTTTTGTGTATGCATGCATGCATTGCAAGCAATGAAAGTCTGGAAGAAAGGAATGGGAAAAGAAAACGTTTAGAACTAAAATTTAATACAGTAGAAATGCACACATAGCAAAGAAAATTCCGGAATATTTTACTATAAACGTGTATATGTACATACATACTAGCGTGGGCCGAAAATCCGCTTTTTTAGAAATTTGATTGGTAATAGGAAAAATATGGTTCATTATGTTTTAAAGAAAATCTGTGTAAAATATGAAAATTTTGGTCAATATCCTAGGCTCGCCCAATTCCATCAAAGTTTAAGTACTAAAAATTTTTTTTCTTAGCTAACTTCGATTCTCTACAAAAAGGTCCATATACCAAATTATGTAAGACTAATACTTTCGAAGATTATTGCAATTTAGTAAAAAAACGAATTAATTAATCGATTTATTAGTTTTTATTTTTGAGCATATTGAACTTTGATGGACCTGGGTGAGCCTAGGATGTTGACCAAAAAATTCCAAATTTCACACAGACATTTTTTAAAGCATAATGAACCATATTTTTGCTATTACCAATCACAATTCTAAAAAAGCGGATTTTCGGCCCACGGTAATATGTACTATGTACAAATGAAACTATTTTCTTTTACATGCCACTGTTTTTGGCTGTAGCGATTTTTAGACAATATTTAGGTACTTACTTATGTCCATTTTTTTCAATATTTTATTTTTTTTTGCATTTTCTTCTTGCGATTCACTTTTACTATTTTTATATCCACTCGTTTTCGGACAATTTCGTTGTCGATACTTGTATGTGTACCTATAACGTACATTTTTATTTGATAGCCACAAATTACACTACAGCTTTTGTGATACTTATATGTATTTGTATGTATTTTTACTCCATGCGTATGGTTATGTTGTTTTCCACATTCGTTTTTGTCTGTGAGCTTGCGCTCTACATTTAGATAATTATTTTTTTTTAAATCAAACAATACCACAATTTTTTTGCATATATAAGGAAAGTACAGTTTTGAAGTTCTAAAATTTCCTATCTGCATTGCATTCTCAAACTGTTTTATAATCTTATAGATTTACTTGATTTTCGAAAACCAATTTTACCTTTTATAATCCTTCATACAGCTGAAATAGTAAGAACTTTAGGTGGTGTTGGGGTTTATCGCATGGATTGAAATCAGACAAGTAGTAGTTAGGGCCCTTACAAAAATCGGATAGTTCATTTCTTTTATTTTTTTTGTTGCTGGGACCCTTCGTCTGCTTTTACTTATGCTTATGAATATATGTAGCCCCTAGAAGTAATCCCAAAATTTATTTCCGCTCATAACTTCGAAAATAATATTTTTTTTCAGAGATACCACTACCATCTACGCCCTCAAAACAAGTCACACATACAACCATCGAAACAAGGGAAAGTGAGTACATAAGAAATAAGCAATCTACAAAATTTAGATTAAGTTTTGTTCAAATAAAAAGGTGTATTTTATCTATAGCTTTCGTATGATTTTAGGTGTTTTGTATAAAAGTTACAAAAATTTATAGTTATGCCTACATGTTCAAAAATTTTTGCAATAACTTGACCGCTCCTCCATTTTCTCTTTCCTTCTAAATTATTTCTACCAGACAATATAATACCCACACGAAATGATTCAACGAATGCACTACAAAAAGACATTCATTCGATGAAAGCAGATCTGCTGGGTAGTGGTGCATCGTCGGCTTCTTCATCGCACTCTGCCACAATTTCCATGTCTGCGGGAAATGGCAATGGCATGTCTGCGCTGGGAGGGGCGAGTATAAATGCAGTCGATCGCAAAGGCACGCTGGCTATTGGCAAAAGTATGTATTATACCGAACAGCCCCCGAAGCAATTGGATGGCTCTGCAGGTGAGTGTTGTTATAAAAAAGTGGATATTTAATTTTTAGAAGGAACATATAGATATGTACACATTTTTAAAAATAACTAGCAAAAAATTAAGTCATTCTAAAAAAACTTTTTATTTATACATATCGTAATTTTTAAAATTATAGATTTTCACCAAAAATTTGTTATTATTTTTGGTTACAAATTTTAGTCTTTTATTAGGAATTTTAGCAGACTATTGTTTTTTTTTATTAAGTGCAAATATTTTTTTTGCTAATATCCAAGAAATTTATAAGATGAAAAACTACATAACTTCCTCAAAATTTGTTTAAAAAATATTAAATCAAAATATTATTGCAATGAAATAAAATACTAAAAATATTTACTATGCATATCATGGCTTTTCTCTCATTTCTTTTTTCCCCCTTTTCTCTTATCAAATACTACGCAGCTGGCAGATTACACAAGTCTCCAAGTATTTTTTATTTGTGCAGATTTGCACTAATTTTTTTACTACTGAGAAATCACTCATAAAACTTCTTGGATTTGTATAAATAAAAATTAAATAAGTATATAGTAATTAAAACTCAATAATAATATAAAACATTTTTTGTTTCACTTTATATCGCAAGACTTAAGTTTTACGGATAATATAATTTAAACGAAAATCAAAGCCACGTTTTCCAAAAAAAAAAAAAAAAATATATGTATGTATTTATGTATGTATATTCAAATATGGATTGTTGTGAATTAGTTGAGCGTATTGAAAGATACTTCGAGTAAACGGAAAATGACGTTAAATAAAAATCAGTATTCAATAGTTCCTTAAAAAACTTTTTATTTTTTAGTACTTTATATATTTTGTTAGTTTGGAACTTCTTTTTTGTATATATGGATTTGGGCGATAGTTTCCATTTATGTAGTTTGAGAAATGCCAGTCAAAAACACAGAAAATGCCTCTATTGTCAATACCCTGAGGCACAAAGACATTCACTTATTACATTATTAGATTTTTACCTTGATCGAACCGACTTATAGTCGCAGTTCTTTCCCTTTCAGCTTGCTAAAGAATTTTGCCACCGCTCTTGTCAACTTCTTCAAAAATAACTTCTTTATCCCTCCATTGGTTTCTGTAAAATCTGTACCGATAAATTTCTTTAACCTTAATGAGTGATCCAGAGGTTCAGAGTTCGCCAAATTTATCAGCCCGCTCATACCGCTCCACAAAGGGATCCACTGAATTTGATTTCAATTTTAGAATTCAACTTTAAAATTCAACCTTGTTTTACATACAAAAACAAAATCCAAAGTTTAGCGTACCATGCTTCTTATACCTGAAAAAATATATCGACCTACCTCAGACTGGACGGTCTTGCGGTCAGGAATCTCCTGAATGTTAAAAAGGAACCCACTTTTCAAATAGCACGGACCATAGTTTTGCTAACAAAGCAGAAAATTGGCCTTGCGTTCCAAGAGAGGAGGTCTCAGGTACGTATAGAGAGAAGGTAACGTGGTCTGTCTGGCCTTTAGATGGTTTTAAAGCAGAAAGATTGGAACAAGCTTCTTCGTAAGATGCTAAGATACAGGTGAGGATATGTTCATACTGAAGTCACGGAAGTTAAATCATTTACGGAAAAATGACATCAGGCCGAGAAATGTACCGGTTTCCTTGAGCTTGAAAGCGCGATAAAATATACACTGATGCCTTGTAAAGATACATAGTAGCTTCACCTTATCTCGGAAGAGAAAAAAGTGGGTAATTGTTTTCCTGGTAAACAAGAGTCTTGAAGGCTTTAACCCCCAATTCATTCTGGCTCGCGCACCTAGTGATTTCAATCAGTGCACCATCTATTGGATCACTTATCAATAACAAGCATTCATCTGTGATAAGTATTACCAAATCACGAAACTTAATTCTTTCAGCTTTGAGTAGTTCTCGCCAGAACTTCCTTCACCACCAAGAGCCACAGGTAGGATAGTACAAACCTTTGGGGTGTATCGTTGATGATTATGCTTTTCACAGATCTTGTGTACCCCCTTTCGTTTGCCGAACGACTGTATTGGCCTCGAAGAAGAGAGCTAAGCTATACAGAAGGCGGATGACTTTTAGCTGCGTAGCATGGTTCCAGACGGGGATGTTACTATTTTTGTCTATAGTCAAGCAAAAGATATTCTAAAGCTTATCATGGAACCTTGTTTGCTATTGCAACAATGCTCCAAGGATGGTAGATGCCAATAAGTACTATCCGATTAAAAAAAAGACTCTCTGCAGACAACATTTCTCTGCTCAACAATTTTTTGTCGGTATCCGAGCTTATAATCGAAGCGTCTTAATCACTAGGTTTGGCGGAAATCTTCTTCTTCTTCTTTGTCGCTGTAACCACCTAAGCGATTTTTGCCGAGTTTAACAAAGCACGCCAGTCGTCCCTCTTCTGTGCCAACTGACGCGAATTGGAAATGTCAAGTGAAGCCAAGTCCTGCTCCACTTGGTCTTTCCATCGCAGTGGGGGGCTTCCTCTGCCTATACTACCACTAGCGCGTTCCTAGTTGAATACTTTCAGAGCTGGAGCTCGGCGTCCATTTGAACGACATGACCAAGCCAGCGGAGCCGATTTATTTTAATTCGTTGCACAATGTCTATGTCATTGCAAAGCTCATACAGCTCATTATTCCATCGTCCCCGATACTCGCCGTTGCCAACGCGTAAAGGCCCGTAAATCTTTCTCTCGAATACTTCATTGGCGGATATAGCGGATCTCCTCAATTTTATTTGGGATAGCAATTGGTTCCGTAGGTTAATGCCATGAAAATACCCTAAGAGGAATGTGCTTCTTCCTGATAGTCACTCAAAGGGGGCACTCATAGTGGACAACTAACTATGTCTCCGAGTGAAAGTATGGAACAGTGAATACACTCTAACTAACTTAACTTCAAAACAATATACATACATACATAAATGTGTTTTGATTATCTTTTCCACGCGAGTTTTCCTTCTTTTCTCAGTCAACGCCGATGGCAATGCAATAATTTATTTGCTCAGTTTCTTTGGAAAATATTTCGTAAATCAAATTCGCTTTGTCAAATATGTATGTATATTTTATGTACATGTAATTAGAATATTATATAAATATATCTAAACCTTGTAAAAAGATGATAAAAAGCTTAAATGTTAAAAACATATAACTATATATAAGTAGTATAAGCAAGGCTTACTCGTATTAAATGTATTAGCTTAGATATAACTATTTAATACGAAGTTATAATCGCGTAACTGCCTATACTCGTACAAGTCTTGTCTAATTATAATATATTGAAAATGAATAAATAAAATAAAATGCATAGGGATATTGTATGTACCTATCCATACATGATTATCTGTGCCGTTCAATCAAAGTAGCCTAAGTCGGCATAGCCCATTTCCCTTTAAAGCAACATTTCATTGGGTTCCCAAACAATATTTTAACTTTTAAATAGCCATAGTTCCAGATGCTTTTTTAGTAATAGCTTAATAAAAATAAAAATAAAAAATTTCAAGGAAAAGTGATAATTTTTTAATTCAAAGTCAAATCTTCTAAAGTCACTTAAGCTACTTTAATTGAACGGTACAGGTATATAGTATACTCATATCTAAATGTTCATTCATACGTACGCAAATATACGAACGTATTGAGCAACGCAGATTTATTTGAATCAGGGAACGTAACAGTTACAACTTTTATTAAAAAAATCACTATTTAACACATATTTTTTTTAATTGTATTTAAGTACTCCTTAAATAACCGTTATTTCTGACTTTTGGTTTATAAATCTAAAATAACATTTTTTTTTGATTTTTATCTAAATAATCTGCAAATAACAGTTTAAATTATATGTCTTTCATAACGGTTATCGAAGACTTATTTATAAGTCACAAAAAAAAATCAGTCACTGACCTTTATTTTTTAAATCGTACTTATTAAAGTCATTTGTATAAGTCATAGTAAGCTGTCTCCCAACACCTTCTTAACTGCGAAAAGTGTTGAGTTTTATATGAATGATTTAAAAAGTAAAAGTCGGTGACTGATTTAAAAGTAAAAGTCACTGATAGTCTTAAATAACTGTTATCTAAGACATATAATATAAAAATCATAAATAATTCTAATTTTTTTTTTTAATTTTGCATAAAAATTGCAAATAAATTTTTTTTTTTTTAAATTTGAGTCTAGGTGAAAAAAAAAAATCGATGGGTATGTATCACTTAGTTTTCGAACATTTCCTTCATAGTGAAATTTTCCATGAGAGTTTTCATCAATAACTGTTATGTTCGGTCCCTGATTTGAATATTATGTAGTTTGGAAAGTTCTTTTCAATTGAGCTTTAAAAAAAATTAATATGTATTTTTCATAAAAATTTGTATAACTACTAGGGTATTCGATTATTCGCCTTTTTTCCAAAACTGGTTTGCAATTTGAAAAAAAACCGGTTGCCTATTTTGAAATTAAGAGAAAACCGGTTTTATTTTACATAGTTTTCATACAGTGAAAATGATTATGTTGGTATGAACTCATGACCGAAAATCACTTACATTAATTCTATTGCTTTTGTTGAGAAAAGAGCAAAGTAAAATAAGTTAATTTTTTTTTTTGATCAAACGTAAAACAAATCAAAATCAGTCTTATAGATATAAAAAAGTAACGGTGGAAATCGATTTGGAAAAACCGAGTCAATCACCCTAATAACTACAATTGACTCCAACCAAAAATGCTGGAAAAAATTGTGGGAAGAGAAAAGGCATATGAAAAAATCTGTAATCTTTTCTCAACCAACTTTGGTTTGTCAAGAGCGGACTCTGCTTTTCAATTGGCTACTGAGCCCAAGGTAGCACCTGTTGGCAAGAATTACACTGGTCTACAAGGGTTTTGCGAATAAGACGGGACCTGGTGTTTCCGAACGGATTTTTCGTGCTGAACACGAATCTGGGGTCCAAAACTTCCCATCACGTCACGTTTTCGAGAAAAAAGGGGTTGAAACCCCTAAAAACAGC